CGCAACCACCAAATCTCGTCAACTTTTTGCTCTGCCACACGTCTCTGCTACGCCGATTTTTAGGGATTTTCGTTAGTGAGAAAGGAGGGGCAAAATCGTCCTCACCAGCCCAAAATGATAGACGAAAATCGCTTTCCTCAACCAAAGGGCATTTGGCCAATATGGGCCTCTTATGGGTATATTACGCCCAATCTCTCTTGATTTTAATTAGTTTCAAATATTCAGTTGCTTGAGATTTTTAAATAACTTAGTTAAATAGATAATAAAACATATATCTTATTTAGTATTGAAATACTTGCAGTTTTAATACAACCAAGCTTTTAAACAAAGTATAGATATTTTAAAATTATCAATAAAGTAATATAATTGCATGAAAGATAATTTTGTAATACATGTATTTCCTCAAAAATAATTATAAACAGTTTTTGTTAAAAAATTTTTTTACAAAATATAACATATTTATTTTTATAAAATGAGTTTCGGTGCGATATCACACGGGTCCTTTACCTAATGATAATAATAACAATTTATAATTCTGAGAATTTATCATTCTCGCATGTGAATTGCTTGAGATACATTCAAATTTATGTCTATAACTTTATCACATGACTAATAGATTTTTATCTCTCAAAGTATTCTTTAAAAATCCAAAATAGCCAAATTCTCAAAGACATGGAAACAAAGCCAAAAATTAGAAAAAGGAAGAAAAATGTGAAGAGAAACTAAAAACACTAATATTAGGAAGAGGCTAAACTTCAATATTCCCAAATATGGAAATGAATAGCGAAATGAGAGGAGATGCCAAAGAAGATGAGAAAAAGCAGGAAAAACATTCTCTTAAGAAACCCTATAAGAACGTCTTCAAGCATTTCCACAACTCGAAATTCAAACCCCAAAGCATAACCAAATAACAATAAACAATTAATACCCCCACAAAAACACATATGCGAGGGGTTAAACTATTAGCCGCGTGCCTTTACCTGGCCGCAGCCGCAACACTGGTGGTCCGTGCCGAAGACCCTTACTTCCACCACGTTTGGAACGTCACCTATGGAACCGCTTCTCCTCTAGGCGTTCCACAACAAGTCATTCTAATCAACGGCCAATTTCCTGGTCCCAACATCAACTCTACCTCCAACAACAATATCATTGTCAACGTCTTCAACAACCTCGATGAACCCTTCCTCCTCACTTGGTAATAACAACATTTCATTCCTCAACAAATACATGTTTTCTCTAGAAAAAAAAATCTCTATAACCAGAAAATTATTTTTTTATTAATATTAATTTTAAATAGCGATTGCGACTCATATATAATAGTTCTTTAAAATTTGGGTGTCAAAACGACAGTTAATCCGGCTCTGCCCAGAACTTGCCAAGTTTTTAACAAAGAGTCTCATCATTTACATAAATAAAATGTGTCCTTATATTATATTTTTTTTGCATTTTTAGGAATGGAATCCAGCACAGGAAGAACTGTTGGCAAGATGGGACTCCAGGAACTATGTGTCCAATCATGCCCGGTACCAACTACACTTACCATTTCCAGCCTAAGGATCAGATTGGAAGCTACTTCTACTACCCTACCACAGGGATGCACCGTGCCGCTGGTGGATTTGGTGGACTCCGTGTGAACAGCCGTCTCCTCATCCCAGTCCCTTACGCTGATCCTGAAGATGACTACACCGTCCTCATCGGTGACTGGTACACTAAGAGCCACGCCCAATTGAAAAAATTCCTTGACGGTGGTCGTACTCTTGGTCGTCCAGATGGTATTCTCATCAACGGAAAGGCCGGCAAAGGAGATGGATCAGACGCACCGCTCTTCACCTTGAAGCCTGGAAAGACTTACAGGGTTAGGATCTGTAACGTGGGTCTCAAGACATCAATCAACTTCAGGATTCAGAATCACAAGATGAAGCTCGTTGAAATGGAAGGTTCCCACGTTCTTCAAAACGATTACGACTCTCTTGACGTTCACGTTGGTCAGTGCTACGGTACCATCGTTACCGCGAATCAAGAACCTAAAGATTACTACATGGTTGCATCCTCTAGGTTCTTGAAGTCGGTTATTACAACAACAGGACTTCTCCGCTACGAAGGAGGCAAAGGACCTGCCTCTTCGCAGCTCCCAGCCGGTCCTGTCGGATGGGCTTGGTCGTTGAACCAGTTCAGATCATTCAGGTGGAACTTGACCGCTAGTGCAGCTAGACCTAACCCTCAGGGATCTTACCATTATGGAAAGATTAACATCACACGTACCATCAAGCTTGTGAACACTCAAGGCAAGGTCGATGGTAAGCTTAGGTATGCATTGAACGGAGTCTCCCACACAGACCCTGAAACACCTCTGAAGCTCGCAGAGTACTTCGGTATTTCTGACAAGGTGTTTAAGTATGATACCATCACCGATAACCCTACCCCGGAACAGATCACGAACATCAAGGTCGAGCCAAATGTTCTTAACATCACTCACCGTACCTTCATCGAGGTGGTGTTTGAGAATCACGAGAAGAGTGTTCAGTCATGGCACTTGGACGGTTATTCTTTCTTCGCCGTTGCGTAAGTAAAACATAAAAATTAACAATAGTCTTGCGTCACAAGTAACTATTAATGTTGACCTAATTTTTATTTTTTTTACTCTGTTTCAAAGTGTGGAGCCAGGGACTTGGACCCCAGAGAAGAGGAAGAACTACAATCTTTTGGATGCAGTGAGCAGACACACAGTTCAAGTCTACCCAAAGTGCTGGGCAGCAATCTTACTCACATTTGATAACTGTGGAATGTGGAACATTCGATCTGAGAACACAGAGAGACGTTACTTAGGACAGCAGCTTTACGTGAGTGTCTTGTCTCCAGAGAAATCACTTAGAGATGAGTACAACATGCCTGAGACAAGTCTCCAGTGTGGTCTCGTCAAGAACACACCTAAACCTGCTAACCCTTATGCTGGTGCCTAAGTTAAGTTTTAAATGCAACGAAAGAGTTTGGATTCTTTGGTTGATTTTCTGATATTAATTTTATAAAACTATATGGTTTACTCGTATATACATGGAATTGAAATGTATGTATGTCTATCCTTAAAGTAATTTTTCTTTTCAAGAAGCATTAGTCTTCTCTTTGTTATTTTTTTTCTTCACTTTTTTGTAACACTTATGTAATGTATACATAATCTTCGATGAAATAAGCAAAAAGATCTTATTTGTCTCAAAAAAAACTTTATACAATAAAGTATTTCTCTATAGCCTAGAACCGTGTATGATGGTAACAAACCCCTTTCCATAAGGACCTTCAAAATGTCATAGTCTGAGCTTTTTTTTTTCTTACACATAAAGACTCAAGCTGTTGTACTTGTAAGGCTATACTTTTCTAAGGCTCTTTGTCTCTGGTTCTTCCACCAAAGGAGTTTCCTTGAGAGAGAAGTCATCGAGACTATCATCATTCTCTGTATCGACCTGAACAAACTCTTTGAACATTGCCATTACTTGAATCATAGTTGGTCTTTTGAACGGTCGATCATCCAGACACTGATACGCAATTTTCAAGTAATGGAACAGCTCAACGTCAACAGATTTTTCAGTTATCAGGTCCGGATCAAGAATCTCTGCTCCTCTATTCTCCTTGTAGAGCTGTTTAGCCCATCCCACGAGATTGTTGTCTTCACCAAACTCCTCTGGATCAATCGGTTTCTTGCCTGAGAGAAGCTCCAGAAGTATAACACCGTAGCTATACACATCTCCTTTGGTTGTGCACCTGAAACTCTGGTAATACTCTGGTGGAACATAACCAGGAGTTCCTGCAAGAGTGCTCACGCTCAAATGCGTGTCTAGAGCACTCACCAGCCTTGCCATACCAAAATCCGAGACACGAGCTATGAAATCTTGGTCTAGAAGAACGTTGCTAGACTTCATGTCTCTGTGGATAATGTGAGGGATGCAGCTATGGTGTAAGAAAGCTAGCCCACGTGCAGCTCCTGTTGCAATCTTCTTCCTCGCTGTCCAATCAAGAAACACTCCACCTCTCTTGGTCTTCTCGTGTAGAACAGTCTCTAAGCTTCCGTGTTTCATGTACTCATAGACAAGAAGTCTCTCTTCCCCAATCTTGCAATAGCCCAAAAGAGGAACAAGGTTTCTATGTTTGATTTTTCCAATAGTCTCCATCTCAGCCATGAACTCTCTATCACCTTGCCCTGTGACTTGAATCAACTTCTTTATCGCTACAACAGACCCATCACCGAGCTTAGCCTTGTAAACATCTCCAAACCCTCCTGACCCGATCATACTATCAGCACTAAACCCATTAGTGGCTTCCAAAAGGTGTGCAAAAGTGAGTTTCCGCAGCGGCTTCTCAAAGGTTGCAACGTTGATGCTTAACGGTTCATGAACGCTAGAGAGCTTCCAGCTGCTGCTACCAGAGGTCGGAAGGCTCTCAATGTACTTCTCTCTCTTCTTTTCTTTCTTCTGAACTTTCCTTGCTCTGTAAAGTGCTAGAGTGAGCATCAACATACACATGAAAGAAAACACAAGCCCGGTGATCATCCCAGTGGCAATACTCTGCTTCTTATGGTGAGCAATGGAGCCCGTGGGGTGGTGGCGGGAACCAGAGCTACAAGGTGGAAGAGGAAGCCCACAGAGGCCTGAGTTGTTTGCGTATCTTTTGAGTGGGAACGTTGTGAGCTGCCCTCCGAATGGGATTGGTCCGGTGAGATTGTTGTTAGAGACGTCTAAGTCGCTGAGGAAAGAGAGACCTCCAAGTGATCCAGGTAAGAATCCTTGGAGGTTATTATGAGACAGATCAAGAACTCCCAAGCCTTTTAATCCACCAAAGCTATCAGGTATAGTTCCAGATAACAAGTTATGTCCCAAATTCAAAACCTGAAGGTAAACCATGTTACCATAACTCACAGGAATAGAGCCCGAAATCGCATTATACGAGATGTCCATGTAGATCATGCTCCCGTTTCCGCTGAAGGTATACATAGCCAAGCCTGTGTATATCCTCGTCTCAGGACAAGAATGAACCATCGGAAAATGCTCTAACCGCTCTGGTCTAATACCTTCAAACTCAACCAAACCACCTGCACCTCTACAATCCGTACCACCTTCGTTTCTAACAAACGCAAACTGTTTACCAGAGACGCTTCCAGGCATCACCTTCCCGGCTTGGCTCGCAAGCTCAGGCGGGAGGTTTCCGGTTAAACTGTTGCTGTTCAGATCAAGCCAGATAAGACTCTTGCAGTTCCCAAGCTCAGGAGGGACATTCCCTGTCAAAGAATTGTTCCCAAGCTGCAGAATCGCCAGCTTCTCAAGCTTTCCCATCCCTACCGGGATCTTCCCGGTAAGCAAGTTACCAGAAAGAGAAATCCAAATCATATTAGTGCATTTAGAGATTGATTCCGGTATAGAACCGGTTAAGAGATTGTTGTTCAAGATCAGAGTCTCCAAGTTTCCTCCATCAACACAAATATTATCAGGGATCTCACCAGTCAAATTATTCGCCCACATTACTAAGTCTGATAGCTTCGGCATCGTCCATATCTCCTTAGGAATGGGACCACCCAAAGCATTGAAACTAAGATCTATAGTCTTCAAGCTCTTGCAGCTACTTAACTCCACAGGAACAGTCCCTGATAAATAGTTGTTAGCAATAAGCAACTTCTCAAGAACCGGAGTGCACAAACCATACGGTACTCCTCCAGTGAACTCATTTGAGCTCAAATCAAGAACTCGCAGATTACTACAATTCGCTAACGAAAGCGGTACAGAGCCAGAGATGTTGTTGTACGGCAAGTAAAGATAACTGATTCTATGGAGCTTACTCACTACAGTGGTCAAAAACTCTCCAGAGAGCTTGTTGTTGCCGAGATTGAGACTTTGTATTACCCCACACGATACAAAAGACTCCGGGAGCTGACCGGTGAGTCCGTTCCCGGAGAGATCAAGAACCTCCAGAGTCCCGCAGAGGAGAGAAATCTCCGGCGGAATCTCCCCGGAGAAACGGTTATGCGCCAAAGAGAGCTCTTTCAAGCTCTTGAAACTCCCCCAGACGTTGGGGATTTTTCCGGCGAGGCTGTTCCGGGAGAGGTTCAGCGTCTCCAGAAGCTTACAGTTCGAGAGAGTAACCGGAAACTCCTCGCCGGAGACGTTGTTGTGCGATAGACTGAAGAAGGTGAGGTTACTGCAGAGTCCGAAGAAGCTGAGACGGGAGAAGTCGCCGGAGAAGTTGTTGAAAGATAGATCAAGGTGTTGCAGAGCCGCCGGGAGATCGATCTCCGGCGGAATCGCGTCGGAGAAGGAGTTGTTAGAGAGGTTAAGGCTCCGGAGATTCGTTAACGCCGTGAGGTTGTTGAGATTTAGGGTTCCGGTGAGCCCAGCGTTTCGTAGATCCAGGCCCATTACTCGGCCTTCTTTAGAGCAGGAGACGCCTCGCCAGGAGCACGGGTCATGATCCGACCCGTATTTCCAGCTGCTTAGGAAGTTAGTTGGATCTGATTTGACGGAGGTTTGTTTAAACGCCGTTAACAGAGCGGCTTCGTCATGGTTGTTGGTGAGTAGACGTCTGTGACGAGCGTCCACGGTAAGAAACAAGACGAGCAGGCAGAGGATCACGAACGGGTTGTTCATGTTATTATTACTAAGCTCACCAAGTGTTCGATCAAATTCCTATAAGAATCAGGTCTTCTTTTTTGGACATGGTGAGAAGACTCTATCTTCCATAGCAGAGCTTGCAACACTGAAATAGAAAGTGAAATTAAGATTAATTTTCTGAATAAAAGATATTTATTTTGGGAAAATAAAGTCACAAGAAGAAGAAGATACGTACAAGGTAATATGTGTGAAGATAACAAAAAAGCGGAATCAAAGGCTGACAGAAACGGAAAAAGAGAGAGTGGAAGTACAGAGGAGGAGACAGAGAGAGAGTTCTTGTAGTGAAGAAGACAAGGGAGATGGTCTTCGACAGTTTTGTCTCCCTAACAAGTACGATGTTGCAGAGATGGTCGGACCCGTAAAAAAGAAGAAGAGAGAGAGTTGAATGTTCAACTCAAAAATAAAAAGAAGATAAAGCTGTTTTAAGATTCCACAGCTAAAAGGCAGCGTGTTTAGTACGACCACTACACAGAAAAAAAAAACGAATTTTTCCGGGAAATAAAAACAAGAAAGATAAAGGAGAGTGCTTTTTTTTATTTTGTTCGACAACTTGAGAAGCTAAGAGATTTTCTGGTTTAGCATGTAAGAGGAAGAGGAAGGAGGAGATTTAAATCTTTGCACTTTTTTTTCTCCTCTTTGCTGGAAAAAATGCAAAAAAGCAAAAGAGAAGAAATTTGGCAAAGAGAGGAAAAATGGGGAGAAAAAGTAGAGAAGACAAAACTACGTGAAAAGAGGACGCATTGTCATCATTATATTAAAGACTAATTTTCTAATTATTAATCTCACCTAATAGTAACCTAAATCATAAATAATACTATCTTGCAATAGATCATCAAACCCAAGTCAAATGTTTCATATTTATATGGAGAAACTAATTTCACAGGTTAGGAAGACTATTTATAAATCTAACAAAGGACTCTGTTTTTGTGGAGACTTTGCTTTTTAGTTGTTCTTTTGTTTATGTCAATGATATTTACAATCGCATTGCAATTTGTGTAACATGTTAATTAGAATCGATCATAAGAAAATTAGAATACTATGAAACCTCTATAAATTAATAATGTTGTGATTACACCAAAATTTTATTTTTTTACTAATTTAGAAATATATTAATCTATCGATATACTAATCGAACCAAAAAACTCAATTTAAAACTATAAAAATATATTATTTTATAGAGATATTTATAGAGGTTCTGTAATCGATGTTTATATATGTAATTAGCAGGTCCAAAGATATTTTGTCATTAAATTGCTATATAATTTATAATGTTTTCAAATTTCGTATAAAAATATGATGTGTTGCGAGTTTTAGTCCATGACCAATTATTTTAAAACGTCTACAACCCTTCTCTGCTTTTTGTCTATATACAACTCTTTTCAAGTTTTTTCTTCATCTCAACCTCGACTCATTTCATGTTTGACGTACCAAATAAAATGTAATCATTTTTCAGGTTAGATCATAGATGAACTACTCCGCACGACAGCTTTCCAGTTTCCATATACAAGCATATGCACATAAAAATATTATTATAAACGAGAATTCCCCACCACCGTTCTTGTATTTGTGTTCTCATTTTCAAAAGGACAAACATTTGTAGTTTAGGGCAACTTTAATTTGGTATAACAAGACAAACATTTGTATTAGTATTTCTTCGCGTGAAATGTAACTTTCTAACCCTACACGCACGAAGCACTAGCTTCGTGAAATAAAAACAAATATGGTTCTTGTCTGTGGCCCAAATATTGTTTGTATTTATAGATTTAAATTTTTAAAAAATATTTACGGATTACCCGGTAAGACGGTAACATTAATAAACAATTCAAATCTTGAAGGTAACTTATGCACAGTGCACACAAACGATGGATTTAATTTCTACCAAGTGACAAAATTTATCAGATTTGCGTATCTCTGACTCTTCTTTAACTTTTATATCGAATGAATGCATGCAATTATAAGTAAGTGATTAATTCAAACTATTAACATGATTTTCAAAATTTAAAACAATATGATTGCAAACAAACGTGACAGGAACTTCTTTCTGGTAGGTGCGAGATTAAGTTAGAATTATCAATGACCGGACCTGTTGTTACTTAAAATTATCCTTGTTGATTTAAAATACCTCATCAAATTGTGAGTTTAATAAACCTACGTACCTACTATTTGTACGTGTAAATCATTTATTTAAGTTGAAATGTTAATGTATTGATGACCCTTAATTTAACAAAAATAAAAAGGGGATGTCTCTAATTCATCTATTTATATATAAGTGCGTCGTGCTTGCGCTACACGTGCATTTAATGAACTTAAATTTAAATAAACCCAGCCAAACTTATCAAGGCCATTCTATTCCTATCTAACTTCTACCTAAACACCCATATATAGGTTAATTAGTTCATAGCTAAACGTATTGAGAAAATAAGAGAAACCTAGACGAATATACAAAGGTTGCGAAACCCGTACGCTATTTGATTGCTTATTTTTTTATGTGCTACTAGCATAACACTAAAACAAAAATAACATATTGGGTCTAGAAATCCGTGACACTAACACGTACTAATAAGAATAAATTATGAGGAAAAGACAAAAGTGATCTCCAAGTCCTCCTTTCACGTCTCCCATAGTTTATACATATTTATATAAACAAAGGAAACATAGAAAATGAGTACTTGTATTTTTTTTTTAGTTCATTGGTGTGTAGGAAGTCTTTTGTGAATTTGGTAGATGTTAGTAGTTTCAATGATGGACAAGAAGATAGATTTTTAATAAATAGGTTAATAATAAGAAGTATTAAAACCGAGGGGTTTATTTAAAAAGAGTGGGCTCTATGGCGGGGCCATAGAGTGTCATTTTTGTCAGTTTATCCGGCCGCACGAGCGCACATCTTGTAAGTTGTGATCTCCAAAGATTTTCTCGTGCACACTTGTTAGATATTTTTATTTGACATTTATCTTTATAGTGGGATGTTAATGTAGGATTAGTATATGTCGAAAACACTCACCTAAATCAATATATACACGGGCTTTTGGGTATTTTTTAGAAAAGTTTTTGGTGTTGCTAAAAAGAAAAGAAAAGTCTTTTGTATTTAAAGAAGGGCTTTGAATACAAAAAAAAGAATTAAACTGGAGGAACTTTTGGTAGATATAAATATACAAGGGTCGAGGTCTCAAAGAAAAGACGAATAGCTGATATGATTTGAAAATCCTACACGTCGTTTTCATGCATTAATAATGAACATGAAAACTTTTTCTTAATAGTAAGCTTTTCATAAAAATAGCGGAATCATCGCATTCAAATCTGCCTGATTTCTAGTCCAACCATCCCCTTTTCACGTAAATCTAATCTTGCTCGATTTATCTCTTTTGTTCATTTTCCTCTAAATTTTAAACTGAGTAGAACTTGTGTTTTTTAACAGCATATATAATTATACAGACGCACGAAAGTTTGTCTGTATATAAGTAATAACCAATGGAATACATCTATAAATCCTCCAGCCATTTTAGGAAAACATTATAATGTACATATTACTTATTATAGTTATTATTCTATAAATAAAATATTCAAAAAACCCACCAATCTCGTGATTATACACAGGAAAGATAAAACCAGAAAATATCTAAAGATAAAACCAAAACATACAAGTCACAAGGTCTCTCAGTCGTCGGTGTCTAGCATACCGAAAAGACAAGATCCACATATGGTATTGAAATTACTTTCTATAATGTATTCACTAATGGGGCCCTAGTCAGATGCCGTTTATGCTAAGTAGGAGCTTGAATTTTCAGCGCATTGATTCAACAATCAACGCTTACGAAACCTGAGTTCTCTTGTGATTACGTGAACCAGACGACGAAGGATAGAAGATCAGACCAAAGCAATAAGAAATTCGATCACACGGACATATGTTTTCTGATTAAAGCAGAGTATTAAGTATTATGTTACTTAAACATGTGATGAACAATATAACAACATATATAATAACGAGTTGGTGTTTTGCTATACAGTATATGATATCGAAATTAGTATTGTCATCGGCAAAATATATATACATGCACCATATTTCTGTGTATTTACATTGTCTTTTCCTTCTGGTGAGTACGTTTGTTGACGTGGACGAATAAACTTTAGCAAAGTCGATATTTTAGGTAGATTTTAGGTAGAAATCCTGATCCTCGCAATATATCTACGGTTGAATTTATAAGGAAAATAAGAATAAATAAACACACGCATCATCCAAAAGATATATCCAAATTAAACATTAGTGAGTCACTACAATGACTAATATTAATCAAATGAGTAAGTTAAAAGAAAGTAGCATTCTTGATTGAGAAGTCAGTCGTCGACCCATGTTGACGTAGCAAGCCTCTCCCGCACGGATCACTTTAAAAGTAAAGTGAGTCTAAATAAATCAGCGATCATCTGTGAATGTAGAAACGATGGATAAAGTGACTGGTAACCTATACTGGGAACAAAATGAATGACTCGGAAAGGAATGTATAGGAACAAAATTGCACGAATAAAAAAGAATGGTTATTCCTTTTCAAAATATTGAACAAATGATTTTGTTCTTTATTTCTCTAAATAAGAAGGAATAAGAGAGAAAATACATTTTTTGTGAATGGTGATTTTTTTTAGGAATGATAAGGAAGTGAATGTTTCTTCTTATTCCCTAGTCACCATTCAAATCCAAAGTGTCCCATATCGATAGTTGCAAGAGATTTTTATTAGTATATAAGATAGATGTACCACTCCATTTATCATCAATTGGTTTTATGTTAGAAGTCTATCTAGTTTAACATGGTATCAGAGCCCACGATCCACAAAGATGGTCCATCGATTTTTGACCGAACATTTCAAAATTGACACTCAAAAAGTCATCATCTCGAAGAGGAGTATTAGACACAAAGTGTGCTACATTGGTAGTTGGATACAAGGTCCACAACATTGTGCATGTATATGTATATATTGATATTTAGCAAAGAAAATAATAAATTTGTTTCCTTAGATAATTTTGATCTTATGATATAATGTGGTCCTAGATATATTGAATAGTTTAATTTTTTTACAAATACTATTTACAAATTTTATTACTTATGTGAGAGTGGAAGATGACACCGAACACTGCCACCACACCATTGGAAAATTTATTTTGAATCTTTACATGTAGGATGTACGTAATGTGAATAAGACAATAGTGAATACAGTCAATAAAAGGTTGTGAAAGCTGCATTATGTTCCTTATATAATGAAGCCAAATAATGAAAGCAAATGAAAATAATGAAATCAAATGATACATTTAACAATGGAAGCTATTGTGTATAGTTCTAAGAAAATGCAAAAAACATCAAAATTTAATCTGAACCGAGCGGAAAATTAAGATTATCAAAAGAAATCAGATTTGGATCAATAGTGGTTTTTTACTCTGAAGCTCAATCAAATTGAAACTAGTGTAAACCTTAAAACCAGATTTAAGTTATTACCTATAAAAAAAAATACTCACATAGTCTTTCGAATATCTACTCAACCATTCAAATATTAGTAATATTAAAATAGGTTAGATTTTATTATATGCATAGTAGTTCTTATTAGTTAATTCAGACACTGGATCATCTCCTTTGATCCTTCTTCAGTGAAGTACGAGGATGCACCTGTTGATGATGGTAGTAAATTACTGAAGCGTGGGTTGACTGGTTCGTTGAATCCTCCTTGGTAAACATGTAGGATTGTCTTCAGTTGAAGGAAAGCAGCGTAGTGAAAGCTCTGTTGGATCTGTGAACATGGTCCACCACCACCACTGCATCTTCCAGGTGTAGCAAACAGGATTAGTCCTCATCCAGGTTTTATTTTTACCTTAGGCCAAGCTTTTGAGAAGAGTGAAGAGCATAATGGTAACTCCATAACGGCAAAGAAGTAGGAGCGAAGATTGTTTCAGGTAGCCATGAGAAGATCTGGAAGGATACAATCAAGAATACAAGCAAAGAACAGGGAAAAATGGAGAAGGACCAGAGGTCATTATCTCAATTAGAAAAGATCTTGACCATTGTGTTTTATGCTCCAGTTCGAATGATCGTTAGAACTAAACTAATATTACATGTTGTGGTTTTGGGTCTGGAAGGATTACTAACTTTGGCCTAAACCTCTTATTATTCAAAGAAAAATGGAGAAAGAAAAACCTTGTTCCAGCATGGATTCTGATCTGAGAGGTAGTGGTTTAATCTGTGTTTTCAAATGGTACAGTTTATGTCGCAAACAACGGAGAGAAAGCTGAGAAGTTGATGATGATGTATCATATTGGGGAATATAGCAAAGAATGTCAAGTTAAGGAGAAAGAAAGAAAAGAACGAAGAAGATGGAAATGAGAAACAATATTTTCCATCGCAAATATTCATCAAAGTGAGTATTGAAAGCCGATCATTCTGTTGTTAGCACCATATTCACCAGCTTATAAGAGCATCTCATTAGCGAATTTGGAGGGAGGTTCAATTCCCAAAATTATTATTTTGATTATTATTTTTTCTGTTTAAATTTTTTTTCAAAAATTAATAAATGAATCAATCGCGAACCGCCACATGTGTGGGATTCGTGAAACAGTGGTTGAACCCGCCTCTTACTAGCAACCTTACGTGATACAGGTTCACCAAAATCACCCTAATAAGAATGCTCTAATATTCTATTGAATGTAAAAGAGACTTCTTCTTTGGATATTCCTTGTTTCCATAATTTCTTTCTTTTGTGCCTTTATTTCAATTGAATCGAGTACATTTTTATATTTGACTAAACAAAGCAAATTACTAACACTAAATACTCTCTTTTTTTCTAACGCAAGATATGGAAGCCCTTGATTTCTCTTTTTTTTTTTCTTCTAAATGAAAACTTTGATTTCTTTTGCCTGAGTTAACTAATAAAAAAACTATGCATATAATAAAAGGTTTGCCTATTTTACATATCAATAATATGTGAATTAAAAAACAATTATTGTTATAATAACTAGTTGAATTGACCTAGTTAAATTGGCGTGGACCTAAATTGTTTTACGCAAAAAACAATTTAAATTATCAAATTGTCGTATTATATATTTTAAATAATATGTATTATGAAGAAATTTTATTATTATTGGTTTTAAAACTTATATAAAAATATACAATAAAAATTGGGGGATTTGCCAAAACCAACCTAAAATTTCATTTCAACCCTAAAGGTGTACCCCTTATTGAGTCAAATGCAAAACCAACCTAAAGAGGTTATGAAGTTACTACTTAACCCTTGTGACCTAACAAAAAAACAGACAGTTATTTTACGGTTCTGTCCTTTGCAAGTCTACGCATAATAGAGAGAAGTCTACACATTTGTAGACCTTCTTAGAAGTCTACTTTGTAGACATATTCTACAGTCTACATCGTCATTTGATCTTATAATTTAATTTTAAAAATGTATAAAAATAATTTTTGGGAAGTTTTTAAATAAATCATCAATATAAAGATTAGTATGAAATATATAAATTAAAATTTCATATAAGTGAAA